AGAGATCTGTGGTCTCCGTTATAACATGATAAGCCCCTCTGTGTACAGCCCTGTGGTAGGCATGGACGATGGAGGATATACTGGAATCTTTTCTTGCTGTCCTGACTGAGAAGCTGGGTCAGAGATGGGCTCCCAGTATCTCAGATTCAGAGCTGGAACTGCATATGTGTTTTCCCATAAAAATAATGATTCAGTAGCCTATTAAATCTATAGCATAGCAGACACTCCCCCTGCAAGTGGGCATAAGGGAAATCCACCCCCATAACCCCTATCAGAGGTGGTGAGAAGTGGAACTTTCTGCTAAAGTGACAGGAACAAATTCCCTGCAATAGAAGATGACATGGGAGCTATGCAGCCATTGGACTTTTCTGGGCCACCTAAAATTCAGTAATATTTAAATTCACTGGTATGTACATGAAGGGACCGTCAGTTAGCCAGAGATTTGGCATTGTTTCTATTCAGAGGGAGGGATTAATAGAGAACAAAATCTAGTATCTAGGCTTGATTGTTTAAAACACGCCTCTTCCAAGACAAGTCCTGGGGACAGAACGCGCTCTCCCCAGTTTTCCTCCCTGGTCACAACAGCAGCCTCAACTGTGAGTTTTAATGCTTGAGACAATCACCCCAGAAATCTGGACAAATTTAATCAGCAAAAAATTAACTTCTGCTTCACAGATGGATTGTATTTATGAAGGCAGGACACCAGACACAAACATTTTGGAAAGTTTTTTTTTTTTTATAACACTGATGATTAGAACAAATTGAATGCAATTAAGTTTTCTGGGGGAAATACACCTAACCTTCAGAGGGTGAGATTTAGGAGTGAATAGGCACACTCCCGGAGAGTCTCCACATGATGCCAGGCAGAGAAGCAGAATCCTGGCTGCATGAGAACCTGCTGGGTGGGATTTCTGAAATTTGGGCCATTAAACACATTGAACAAAAAGGAAAAAGTAATTACCCAGATAATTGAGGTTTGTTCCAAACCTCTCCCATGAAATAACCAGAGAATTACAAAAGATTTATCTTGTATTCTGGGAGCATTTGGGGTGTGTGTTGGAATCATTTATATGAATTTTCCCATTGACCACTTCCATTTTCTGGTGTGGAACTCTTCCAAGGCTAAGAAGATCCCACCACAGAATTCCAAGAAAGTGTGTTGGCAATGGAGCCTGGCATCACGGATGTGGGCCCCAGCATCATGAGCCACCTGGACAGCCAGCGACGCCTTCATTTAAAGACCATGTGGATCAGACGCAGCTCTTTCTGGCCCTGTCGGTGGCAGCACTGATTTTTAGAGCCCAATCAAGAAATTAATGGGAATCTGTAGGATGCCTCAAGTCCAACACTTGGCAGCATGCAGGGCAGTAATTATGCTCAATTACAGCCTAGTGTGTGGCTTCTGGAACCATAAAAATCTCACATCAAACTAATCTCCAAGGAAAAGAAGAACCTATTTTGGCATTTTTTTTGCACTGCTAAATATTAATTCCCAATTTAGTCTCCAGAGGGCTTCTTCCACCATTTCAGGTTTGTCACCAGCTGCCATGAAATCCCTGAGCTAGAGAGTTCAGCAATGGCATCCATGTCTCCTGGGAACTTCAAGGTCCATCCTGATTCAGGGATGAACAAAGGATTCTGACTGCCCTGTCTTATGGAAATGCATCTCCACAGAGATGATAGGATGAGAAAATGAAATAGAAGCAAAGCTCAGAGGTGACCACACAGAGGACGGCTCGCATTTGGGGGTGGGTTCATTTTTAATTTTCAGGTTTCAGCTAAGCCTGCTTGTATGTTACTTCTTGTGAGCACACATCCACCAGCTGTTTTGTCAAAGAACAGAGAAAGCCAAGCCAAACAAAACAAGAGAAGCAGAGGGACAGCAGGGTGGGCAAATGCAGAGGTCCCGTGCTCCCTACCCAGAGGGGGCACTGCAGGTTGGCCACAGGCTTCTCCCTGCCTGAGACTCTGGGCACAGAGGAGGGATTGCAAAGGCTGAGGGCTGAGATGCATTTGAAGAATTCATTCATGCTCTGTAATATTAAGCATGTCTCAAAAACAGAAGCTTCTTGGTTTCCATTGCTTAAAATTTATTTATACTGTTAAAAAACAAGATAATAGGCCCCAAATGGAGTCATTCATGCTAAGCCCTGCATCACCAAACTGAGACTTACCTTAATTACAGTGTTGGTTCTCCCAGAAATGGAATCTTAAACCAGCCAATCAGGAATCGCCTGATCAGCACTAGTTTGGTAATCTGCCCCATAGACCTCTGCCCTCTCCTAAAGGAAAGTGACCTTGCAATAACCAGTTCGCTTTTTTTTGCCCAGCATAATTCCTGGTTCTTGCTCCCTTCTGCCTGTAAAAGTCTTTTATTTTGTATAGGTCCTCAGAGTTCCTTTCTGTGTGCTAGACTGGATGCTACCCAATTCATGAATCAAAAAATAAAGCCAGTGAGATCTTCAAAATTTATTCAGTTGAATTTTGTTTTTTAACAATACTCATATTTCAAGAGATTCCAATTTGGACAGATTATCTAGGAAGTCCCTGATTACACTGTAACACTAGAAAGCAGAATTCGGCTAGATGCAGGAAAGACTGATCTAGAGGAGAGGAAGAGGGAGGGTAAGCACTCTGGCCAAGAAATTGACGTCAAGTAAATTACAGATATGACCAGCAATATGCAGTGAAATAACTATAAATGTCTACAATATTAAAAGAGCAAAATTATGGTTCTATCCTTATAAAATGGTCATAAATGACCCTAATATATTGATTACCCAAAGGGCCCCAATGTTCTATAAAATGTTACATAGACCATAATAACTCTATAACTCTATTGTAAAGTTGATATAAAATTAATATGCCAGCGTTAAGCATTAAATATTTGATCTGCTTTGCACAATTAAGAATCAGTTGGAGGATCAATTTAGATGTCCTGAGATGAGGGGAGAAAAAAGTCAACGTGGAATGACTGAAACATACCTTTCTTTTCTTCCATAAACCATCCAGTAGCAAACGGAGACCCCAAATCGGACCAATGGCTTAGGGAGTCCTTTGAAAAACACACCCTGCAGTTCCACTGCTCACCACTAGGTGACATAGAACATTCAGGAGGCTCAGAAAACTCAGAAGGGGAGTCTAAATGTATAAGCCTGATTTGAGTCTGAAAATGATTCTGGGCTAATAGACCAACAATTCTCATATTAATTGTTTATAAAGGGATATATGTCTACAATCCGTTGCCTGCTGCGGTTGATGAGTGGGCCAGAGATTGTCTCTCTGAGGGGCCTCTAGAAGCCCTTTTGTTTAAAGCTAAAAGTCATGCAGTTGGGGGAGGCTGGCTGGGGCAAATTGTCCACCTGAAAGGGCCAAGGGGACCACTTGCTGTTGGGGCTGGGGGGGGCTGGGGGCATGGACTTCTGATGTTCTTGAAGACATGTATCGCTGAAGGGAATCTGTGATTTCTGAGGGCTCGGTCATGCATCAGGAAAGGCTGGTCATATGGATAATTTCAACCCCATGTGAAACCAAAAGCCAGTGCCATTGGTTTGAGTTCTCTGTTCACCTCTCTTCAGTGTCCCCTAGAAAGTCCTTCCCTCTGTGTTGTCATACTGCTGCTTTTCTGGCTTGCCACCTTCCCAGCTCCACCCAGGCTGAGGTCCCTTTCTCACCCTTCCCACCTAAATTTAGTTGCCTTAGGTCCCTTTCTGCTAGGGCTAATTCCCTCCTAAGAAAGGAGGATCAGCTAAGGCGTTAATTGTTGGTAAGGGCTCATTGGGATGTCCTCTGCAAATCCCATTTGCATTTTAATAGAGGTCTTTTAGGCCTTGGTAGAGAAGTTAATAATGGGGGTTTCCTGAGAGACCAGTGAGGAAGTTAAATTAGAGCACCCTGACATTTACTACAGGGTCTTGTTTCTCTCTGGTCCCGTTAATGTCCTGCTCCCAAGCCCTTGCCGAACTCAATTGTCTCCTGTAACTCCAAGCACCTCCCCCAGAATTGTGTGTGTCACCCCCCTGCAGGTACATCTAGCATGCAGGATGCATCCCTCTTAAGAGTCCGGGGGAAGCACCCCTATCCTGACTGCCCGGGCCCCTCCTAAGAGCTACGAAGCTCAGTGCCTCCTCTTGCAAGTCCTGCTCCATCCTTGGAGTGATGGGGCACTGAGAACGAGGCTACAGAGAAGGGCAGGGAGGGAAAGGTTGGCATCTTAGATTCGGTGCAAATTCACACTGGGCTGAGAAACAACAGATTCCTCATGACCCTCTCTCCATCTGCAGTGTGCCTGGGAGCTCTGCAGTCTTCCCGGGGCCAGTCAGATGTGAGCACAACATTAACATCCAAGTCTCCCTGGCTATAAGCAGCCCCTTGCACGGTCAAGAACTTCAATTCCTCCAGGGTTTTTCTCCCTCACTCCACACATTCCTAGAAATCCCCAGGATATGTCTGACATGTGAGCAAGCCTGTGTCCCCAAAGAGGCACCACTCCACAGCTCTGTCTCTCTCCACAGGGAGGCTATAACCACACTGGCCTTGACCTCTAGCCCAGTGGAGACTGCAGATCTGTCACTAGTCTCAGAAAAGTTCAACAGGGTCTGTTGGGAAAGAAACCTCACTTTAACAATTTTATCCTTTCTAATTCACTTAAGAAAGATGTACAGCACCCTAAATATTGTGGGATTCTGGGATTCAGCCTGATAAGACTATAAAGCCACAGACAGCTTTTTCCCCATAGCAGTTTTTAGGGTGCATATCAGGCTATCCTTGGAATCCTACTCCCTTACTATTATCAGGCCCTGCTAAAAAAAATATATATGTCTTCCCATGCTGGATTCCTTTTGCCCAGAACTCACCCACTCTCTCTAAATCTTGGATTCCATCTGACATCCCTCCCAGACATCATGGAGGTTGATCTGCAAGCTGGCCTCTACACAACATTCCTGAAAAGGATGGTTTCATTCCTAGAAAGGGATGTCAGGATTCTAGAGTGACTTTACCTGGAGGTCTTGGTCCAGTCCAAATGTTACCATAAAGCACCTCCAGGGCTCTGATGCATATCCTCAGGCAGGCACTGGAGTGGTTATCAATGGATGCTTTGTGAAGCTCCTTCTTACAAAAGGATGAGACCATCTCAGGGCATGCTTCTGTAACAGCAGGGAGAGAGCGTTTCATCACTAGATGCTACAACAGAGGCAGGGACCAAAGGAGAAAGAGACGGCTGATGGAGGGGATGCCCCAGAGGTCTGGTGTGTGAGTTCATTTATGGCCTCAAGTCAAACCATGCTTTCGTTGATGTGGCTGAATATCTGAGGTCTCCAGAGGCATTTGTTGAGTGTTGAGGATGATAGGGTTGTGCAACTCAGATGTCCAACACTACCCAGAGGTAGATTTAACAATCTCTGCTTAAATAATGAAGCTGGAGACTCTTACAGAGAATGCTAGACACAGGTGCCTCCAACACATGATTCTGAGTGTCCCATGCTGACATGCTTGCTGTAGTCTTCAACCCTAGATTGAAGAGGAAGAGCCCTTGGACACCCAGAAGGAAAATGCCAAACCATCCAAGGTCACGGCTGAGACAAAGACTCACCTTGATCAAATTTTATTTGGGCTCTTTTGGTCCCTCTTTATGACTAGACCTCATCCTTGGACCCAAGACTAACCCAGTCTTAGCAAAAAATCATGTGAGACCATCCCCCATCCTTGATATCTGACCATGTCCCTCATCACCCACTTTTGTTGTCTGTCCTTGGCCTATCTTTAACAAGAATTCTCCTACCCTTGATGTCCTCTCTTGGTAATCTTCCAGCTGTTGACCCTTTCACTAGGCTTGTTGCTTGTAAATCCTGACTCATCCTTGTTGTATTCAGAGTTGAGCTCAGTCTCTATCCCCTATTGCAATAAAGTTGATCCCTATTGCAATAACCTTGAATATTACCATTTCAACCAGTGTCAGAATAATTTCTCTTTACCAGCTGAGACCCCTGTCCAAGCTGTGCTGGTCAAGGCAAGAAGCACTCCTGCTTTGGTTCTGGGGTGGTAAAGACAAGAGTGGCATCAGACAAGCTATCCAGGGGTGGGTTCTAGGATTCAAAGCCTGCAAAAGACATTCGAAACTAAGACCAGGGAAGAAGCTGTCCCCTCTGGTCATTCTCAACCTCCATCCATGCTGCTACCAGTCTGACATCACACAAATCCTCAATATGACATCTCCAGAATTAGAGGGAGCTGTGTCTGGGGTCCCAGTGTGGAGAGGAAAGGAACCAGAGCTGGGTGGCGGAGGCCCTGGAGCCGACAGAGGGAGAGATGCTGGTTAACACTCAAGAAGGGGGCTGCCCAATCCATCCCTTGGTTTGTGGAGCCTAGCATCACTTAGGTGACAACCCTGGGGACAGAGTGCTGAGAAATAGCAGAGTGCAAAAGACTCATGCAAAGACCACATCCTGTTAACCTCCCAGAACAAACTTAAGGTGAGGCTGATGGAGACTTTTTGCAGGTATGGTGAAGAACATAATAGGGAGAAAGAAAAATAAAATTTCACCACACACTCTTGGAGGCTGTATTCCTCAGGACTCTTGGTTGCAAGTGACAGTAATCCAGACTATCTTAAGCGGACAAAAGTAACCAATTAGCTCATGGAGCTGAGAAGTACAGGAGTAATGCCCATTTCAGGAAAATGAGATCCAAGGGCTCCAATTTGGTTGTCTGGAAATTCTTTCTCGGAGCCTACTTTCCTCTTTGTCAGCTTCATTCTCAAGCAGGCACCCTCTCCCCTTGTGGGAGCAAAGAAGACCATCAGCTGCTCTGGGCTTACAGTCTACAGTTTAAAAATCCTAGGACAAAGAACAAGACTCTTTTTCAATATTTTCAGCCAAAGCCAAGGGACTGACTCTAACTGGTGCAGCTTGTCATGCACCTGCCACTGGGCCCATCACTGTACCCAGAAGGATGCATGCTCTGACAGGCCAAGCCTGAGTGAGACCCTCATCTCTGAAGCCCGGGGGTCAGGGGGAAGGGATGAGAACTGCATGTTGAATAGGAGGGGTTAGATCTCCAAAGGGAAATAGATAAGCTGTCGCCCAGAGAAGGACTGCTGGACAGGCAAAAGCAGCACCTACTCAGTGAGCTGCGAAGCCTCCTCTCCCGTGGGACTGCATCACAGTTCAGTGCTGCAGCTCTGAAGACAGACAGAGGTGGGCTGGAGTCCTTATGATGTCTTATTATGTGAGTTCAGCAAATGGTTTCATTCCTGTAGGCCTTAGCTTTCTCTGCAATGGGAATACAACCTAGGCTGTGGGTATACTGGACAAGACTACATGTTCACTAAATGTTAGATAGGAATAGTCCTCCTTCCCAACCTCCCCTACCACTCCAGCTTAAATACAACTGAATGAGGGTAAAGATCCTGGCTGGTTTTTTTTCACGGCCATTTCTCCATTGCTTGTGTAGAGTCGGCATCCAGCCAAGATTTGTGAGTTAAGTGAATGACAACAAAATTAATAAATTTCTAGTAAATTTCTACTCTTCAGTGTCAGCTCCCGAGCCTTAGCAAACAGAATTAGTCATTTCTTTCTCTTTTCCTGTTGGCAGTTTTTATTGAGTTCTCTAACAGCCCTTATCAGCAAGACTGAGAACCACACCCATGTGTGACTCAACTCTGGGTCCCATCACTAGCCTAGTGCCTGGCACCTAGCACAGTGCATGTTGCTGAGTGAAAAAGATCACCATGTTCAGTCTCCTGACCTTACAGATGTTGTCACAGAGACCCAGAGAGGTTAAACAGTTTGCCCATAGCCACACAGCTTACCAATTGAGTCATGACTTCTAGTCCAATACTCTTCCTTCTACTTCATACCACCTGGACCTTGTCTGGTTCTCCTGTGTTGCCATAAGCAACAGACAACTCCAGGGATAAAGTGGAGTTCTCAGTCCTCTAGAAGGGAAGAGGCATCTCCAATACAGAAAGCTACCAGCACAGAGAGCAGTAGCAAGTCCCAAAGGAGAGTTCAAGGATCATTCATGTGCTCTATCTCACATATAAGAGCGTTTTCAGTCTCAGACAGTTTCCTTTTGGGACCTCTACTTCTTCCCAATAGTTCAGGCAGGGCTCAGCCATTCCTTCCCAGCTCCCACAGCACATGCACACCCAATACCAAACCACTGATGGAGGAGGCCACCAGGCCTTCTTTAGGCTGGAGAATAAATGCAAAAGCCCACAGCAATGGGTTGTTCGCCTCTTCTCCACATTGCTCCATTCCATCCTCCATCTGAAGGAAGAGGTCCCAGCAGGTGCCAAGCCAACCAGCCTCTCCCCTTCCCTAACTACTCCCAATTCCAATCTCCCAAAGCCCAGCTGCCCTGCTCAGTTAATTTCTGTTAAAAACAGAATCCACCATTACCACATTCAAGACAGTTTATGCTGTTCTTGTTGGAGACCGTGAAAAGATATTTCTTTTATTCATTCCATTTGTTTAACAAACATTTTAGCAGCTACTATGTGCCAGGCACTGAGCATGCCAAAACAAAGAAACGAAGAATGAAGAATGTATCTCCTGGCTAAGGCATCTAAGTAACCCATTAATAACATTTGCTTCAAAATCCCTAAAGCAGAGAAGCTTTTTCATCCACCACCACTCTGCCCCCCATGATATTTAATTCAAAGTAAATGCTTTGAAGAGCATATCACTAATAGATTTTTAATTAAGAGGAAAGGTTCTTTCAAGGTAAACTTTACCTTTGACTTGTCAAAAAGGTGTTTTTTATTCAAAATTCAAAAAATGAAAATAGGAGGTGGGTTCACACTAATACTGCTAATAACTAATATTGCTAGAAAGAAGGTTGAGGCGACATGTTCACTGCTTCCTTAGCACCAGGAGAAAAGGCTGCTTCTAAATTTAAAGTATGCTAACTGTTCTGATGTGAGAAAACATATAAAACTCTTTCAAACTTCTCTTTTGAAGGAGCTCAGAAGAACCCAGTGCAATTTTCTCTAGGACTCAGGTGCACAGCAAATATATCTCAATGAATGAACTTGGCTGTGCATAAACCATTTGCTTCCACTTTCATTTGTAATGAATTCATTCATTTTGCCAAGTTAATGGCCCTAACTTGTTAGTGTTAGGTGAGCTTCTGGAATGTTCCCCAGTATCTTAATGCTCCTTCTTTACAAGGCATAAGAAAGTATCCTTTTTAGTATGAAAAGGGACACTTTGCTTTCGTATTTATCCAAATACCTAACTTTCGAGTTTGGAGACTGAGGCCCAGAGTGTTTTGCTCAGGAACACAAAGAGTATTAGCACTAGAGCCAAGACTAAAATAAGCCTCTTAACTCTGAATTGAGAGTTATACTTAAAGGAGCCCATTAAATAACTGTATTCTTTGAAATTTACTTAGAAGTTTACTGATTGTTAAGGATCTATTATGTACTAGGTACTTCACATACATACTTTTTCTTTTAATCCTTACATAAAACCTCCAAGATAAGGGTCATTAATAGATGCTGCTAAAGCATTTACATAATACCATACATAGCACTTATGGTGTACTGAACACTTCTATATATTATCTCCAATTTTCACAAAAATCCTGCAAGGTATCATATTCCTTTTTCACTGATAAAACACTTGGTTCTCTGAGGGATGAAGCAACTTGCTGAATTCACATAGCTAGGAAATGATAGGGCTGGATCCACATCTCAAAACCTGTCCACTGTCCCCTATAATGCTGCCCATGTAGACAGCCAGGGATGTTCTTCCAACCTAAATAAACAGTATCAGAGACGCTCCCCATCAGCAGACCTATTGTTTCCCATGGAACACCCCACCCACAATATTAGGTAGCTGCTTCCAATGACAGTGCAGGTAGGAAAAGTCAGCTGGGGCTTCCAGGTGGGGCTGAGCTTGAGTACGGTGGTGCCACAGGAGGTGACTTTGCATTAGGGTCTCTCTGGGCCTTAGCTTGTCAAAGTCAAAAACCTGACCCTGTCATTTCATTTAGGGGTGGCTTGTGTCCTCAAAAATAAAGTCATATTAGCCATATCACAAAATAATAATCATATAAGAATTATGATGATGATATTGATAACCATCACTTATTGAATATATGTTATACATGGTGTGCTTTGCATTCATGTCTTCAAT